TGATCAGGTAGGGTACAAGTGATTTTAAAACATTTCAACTGGTTTATATATATCGTGTATATATTATTTATCTTGTATAAGATGCATTTGGTTGAGTCAAGCGCTTCATTGTAGTACTGCTGTGATTATCTCTTTAGTGCGCAGTGCGAGCAGGACAAACAACAATGCAGTATATTAATAACTATGACTGGTACTGTCATATACATAACATTATAATGAGAACACTATTACAATAAAACGCTGTGAATTTTTTGAGTTTAGTTGCTGTGTTTCTGCACGTTGTTACAGGAGTTCATTCAGAGCCGTGCAGACACGTTCATGTGTATTCGGGGCATTTTGTGCAGATAGCCTATAAGTCGTAATATTAACGTTATGTTGTATAAATAACAAAGCGTATTCTATATGAGATAAATGAGTTAAATCCCATTGATTAAAAACCTGCTGCTTCATTCTACTGGTCATCTTCAGCACGCGCAGCTCAAAAAATAAATGCAGAATATTAATAACTGCTGTTATAAACGTAATGTTATAATGAGAGCACTATTGAAAAAAAAAGTTGTGAATTCTTAGGGTTTCACTGATGTTTAAAGGGTTAGTTCACCCAAAAATTTAAATTAGCCCACAAATTACTCGCCCTCAAGTCATCCTAGGTGTATATGACTTTCTTCTTTCAGACGAATCCAGTCAGAGTTATATAAACAATTGTCTTTAATCTTTCAAGCCGTTTAATGCCACTCAGCGGGTGTTGCATGCATCAGTCCAAAAGAAGTTAAATAAAAAGTGCCCATCCATAAAAAAAAGTCTCACACGGCTCCGGGGGGTGAAGAAAGGCCTCCTGTAGCGAATCGATGCGTTTTTGTAAGAAAAATATCCATATTCAAAACATAATAATCACTTTAATGTAGCTTGCGCCAACAGTTGAACACGGAAGCAGTTCTGGGCGGATGACGTATGAGGTCAGCGCTGCGCATGTGAGTCTCGTGAAAACCAACGTTTGTTTACAGGAGCAAAGGAAGCTAAGTTTCCTTACTTTAGCAAAGGAAAACCACTCTCCTCTTGGCTTAGATCGAAATCCTCCGACATTCTTCTTTACAAATCCTTGTTTTGTACTTCTAATAAGTGACCGTTGTTTTCTTTTGATCTCTCCTCTGCGCTTCCGCGTTCGTCACTTCTGAGCGGCGCATGCACAAAGCTGACCTCATACGTCATGTGCCCGGAGCTGCTTCCATTTACAGCAGTGAGCGCAAGCTAGATTAAAGTGATTATTACATTAAAAAAGAAAAAAGAAAGTCATATACACCTAGGATGCCTTGAGGGTGAGTAATTTGTGGGCTAATTTAAATTTTTGGGTGTTAACTACCTTTTAATCGCCCCCAAAACTATCAGTCGACTATCGGCAAGATTCGAAAATTCCGATTCGACAATGAAAATCCTTAGTCGGGGACACCCCTAATCAAAAGTTGCAACTTATTTATTTAATGAGCTAATATGAACTAAGAGTTGTATTTGTTTTAAACAAAGATTAATAACTTCTGTAGCAAATGTAGCTATTGCTCATTGTGAATGTTAATGCATTAACTACTAATGAGATCTTATTGTAAAGTGATACCTATTGGTCTTTATAATTATTTTGCACTTTAATCTACTGTGATTAAAAGTATTATCAATTAATCGCAACATGAAAATTTGATACCGGCATATCCCCCCCCAAAAAAGTTGTATAATTCATTCAAAAAACATTGTAATTATACATTTAAGTACTGAGTAATGTTAATTAACTACATGTACTTACTATATGGTTCGGGTTAATAGGGTTTGGCTTGGGGTTACTTGCATGTAATTATGCATAATTTATTGTTATTATAATAGTAAGTACATGTAACATGTAACAAGGGCACCTTAAAATAAAGTGTTACCTAAATGACTACTACCATTACGACAATTAAGTACAGGGCAGAATGCTGGATGCAGGCTTTGAGTTCAGCGGGAAACTAAAATGCGTGTTGGTTTGCAGGTGTGGTGAGATTGGTCACGTGGCAGTGCAGTGCAGCAAGGCGACTGAGGTGAACTGCTACAACTGCGGCAAGACCGGTCACCTGGCGAGAGAATGCACCATTGAAGCATCTGCGTAACTTCCTTCCTCTGTCGCCCCTCCTTTCCTGATTGATGGTTGTTTCTCTTCTCTGAATCCTCTTCATTGGCCAAAGGCTGGCAAACAGAGGCCTTTCCCAGGCCAGTGAGCAGCTTTGAGTTTTGTTTTTCCTTTATGAAGAAAAGGGGTAAAAAAAAAAAAAATCATATTGCGTTTAAAATTAAATGTTTATTTAGGTAGAGGTGAAATGTATGACGCTTTAAGGAACCCCTTTCCATGCCACTGGTGAAAAGATCCATTACTGGGACATCCCACGCCACAGGGAACCTCTGGGCTCACGAAAGTGAACCTTAGCTCAAATGTAAGAGAGAAGTCAGGCGAAGGCTCAATTCTGGTGTTTTGTTTTGTGGTTATATGGAGAAAAGTGAACGCAGGCTTAAGAGACCATTTTCATCGCAGGAAGTTATTAATATCATCATGATCTGGTGCCCACTAGTAGCTCACATCAAAGTGTGTGCGTCTCCTAAGAAAATGTTATAATGGAATATTTGAATTAATTTCACTTTCAGAAATCATACATTTAGATTTTTTATTTTGTTTGACTTTTTTTTCCTAAAAAGTCATGTTTGCGGGTTCAGCAAACAGTGCTTGTTAATGCTGAACACTACAGAGTAATTTTAGTCCTTTCTACCTTCAATTATCCAGTAAAATAGAGAGACGTGAAATTAGCAACAATTTGCAAAAAAGAATGTTTTCACAGAAATCAGATATTTTTGTACAATATCACTTGGACTACTGTAAGAATATCATTGCTTGTACTCAGTTTTTAAGTCCGAAGTAAATTGCAACTTAAGTCCTAGAACATAGATATGTAATTTTAAGCTGTCAATAAAGTTTGAGGAGGATGAGGAATCTGCCTGCGTTCATGATTTTTATTACCTAGAAAAAATGAAATGGTTGACTTTCACTCCAAATGGGCATTTGGTATTAATTGGGGCTGAAATTTGGAAAGAACTTTTTTTTTTTCTTCCACAAGTGTATTTATAAAAATAAAATAAAAAAAAAGCTACTGTTCACTATTCAATGATATGAGCAGCTACATCAGACACAATTGGCCCATTCAGTAGTTAACATGCACTGAAAAGATTAATCCACATTTAAACTGGACAGAAGCAAAAAGAGAATTTTGCATCTAAATTCATCAGGTTAAAGATACTAACAGTTTAAGTGTTGTTGCAGACAAACCGTCTACACAAATTAAGAGCAAAACATATCTAATTGCATGGCAAATTCATGCCATTTCATCTGCTCTGTCATCCAGCAATTAGAAATGTATTTAAGCTGTGTAATGTCCAGTCGTTATTGCAGTTTTTTTTTTTTGTAAAGAAAACGTCTTATGACAAATTAATGTTAAATGATTAGAATTTTTTTTAATGAGTTCTTTATAATTACATAAAATATTTTAAATATTAAATAATGAATGTTGTAATAAGTGAAAATGCAGGCAGGGCAAGTAGATATCTAAACTTCCAGTAGAAAAAAAAAAACTTATGAGCATTTATTTGGCATTTTTCTGTGCCATTATTGCAGAGTGATGGTAAGATAAAGAGGGTATGGGTGATTGCATATGCACTCCTGTGGGACAAGTTTTGAATTGCTAGATACTGGAGGAAGAAATGTACAATACTAAGTGTACATACCTAAAAAAAAAAAAAAAAAAAGAAAAGAAAATTTGCTTAAATATATGTAATGTCTCTAATATACAGAACCCTATTTGTGTTATTGGTTTATTGAGCAGATAGTAAATGTTTACAGGGCTGGAAATAGCCTTTTGGCACAGCGTGACAATCTTACGGGACAGGACAGGAGCTGGACAAAACATAAAAACCATTCCGTACAGGGTTTTGTGAAGCAGCCCAGCAGCATTTTAGTTTAACTACTTAATTTAGCATTTTGTCAGTAAATGTATTTTTTTTAGTAGTGAAACTACTGAATTGAAAAGTGCTTGTGTCTGCAGAGGTATTTAGCCACTAGATGCCGGGGCCCTTATTCACAAAACATCTTAAGGCTAAAAGTAGCTCATAACTCAAAATTCTTAAAAAGTAAAAAATTAAAAAGTGTTTTAGCACTAAAACTAGCTCCTAAATCTGTGAAACGTTAGGAGCAGTGAAGAGGAGTCCTAAGTCACTAAGACCAAATCACAAACTATCCTAAAATGGCTGTTGCCAGCAATCTGGCTCGGAACTTAAACATTTTAGAAACATTTGATGATAATGGGCTTTTAAAAAGGTATCACCTTTGGTTTTGGAGGTTATCCCAACTCCAAATTTACTTTTATATCCTTGTTTTCATTAACCAGTTGGGCAAGATGTAACAGCTGTTCTTGCGTCCAGTTTGGTTTTCTTTTACGTTTGCATGTCTTACTATCAGCCACGATTATTCTACTCTGTTAATTAAAAGGCTGTTTATATGCATATCTGCCAATTGTTATGAGAAGCATACATGTAAGAGGCTGACAATTTGCTGAACATACTTGTTTAATTAGACACTTAGACTGCATTTTAAAATCTTTTTGAATTTGGCAATTAACATTTTTATTGTTTTACCTTTGAGTATTGTTCCTTAGTATAAGTTTGTCTCAGCAGCTTTGTGAATAGGTTTTAAGAGAAAACTTAGCTAAAAGCTTAATATAATATAAATACTGATATTTAGGAGAGCTCTTAGTTTTCTCCCATCTCCCGACTGCATCTCTGGAGCTCAGCCACAGTGATCTTTGGGTTCTTCTTTACCTCTCTCACCAAGGCTCTTCTCCCCCGATAGCTCAGTTTTGCCGGACGGCCAGCTCTAGGAAGGGTTCTGGTCGTCCCAAACGTCTTCCATTTAAGGATTATGGAGGCCACTGTGCTCTTAGGAACCTTAAGTGCAGCAGAAATTTGAGATTATCTTCTTAGAATATTCTTAGAAAATTAGATTATTTTAGATACATCACAGGTATGGACTGTACAGAGGCATCACAATGAAACACCCGCTGCAGGATAAAATGATAAAGGCCTGTGGCAAACTTGTGACAGCAGCCTTTATGTTCATGTTGCTGAGCCAACACAGCCAGCATGTCCGTCAGCTACAGCTGTATGCCATTCCTGTGGGAAAACAGAACATTTAGCAAACATCTGACATTCATCTTCACAGAAACCGGTGCATCAAACCAAATTCTTTGTTGCATGCAAATTAAAACACATGATGGACATTTTAAAGCAGTTGTAAGTTACAAGTCATCTAGTGTTTATTATCAACTGCATTGCATTAGCTTTATGAATTGGCAGGTTTAATCTGGCCTAGAGGAAATATGAAACCTTGTCTCGTCAGCGTAACAATGAAAACCAGCTCCATGTTTCTTAATGATATCTCCAAAACTGTTGCATGTACAAGGTGAACAGCAGCAATCCTAGTACTGAGCCTTGTGGCACTCCATGCTGATCTTGTGATTGATATGACACCTCTTCGTTTATTACTTCAAAGTGATAACTACAATTATAAATACAGTCAGATAAATACAGTGTTGTGGTCAATAGTATCAAAAGCAGTACTGAGTGCATAGTAGCATTCCACACCTAAACACTTCCTCCAGGTGAAAGAAAGTACTTCTCATTTCTTATTTGTGCATCCTCATTTCCTTTAGTCGCTTCCTTTCCCTGTGTCTCAGCTCCCCTTCCCTGGTATATGAGAAAAGGATGCAAGGAAACAAAATGAGGACAGAGGAATCGAAGGAAAGATCATTTGTACATTGGAATATTCTTGATCACTCAAGCGTCATCAGCTGCACTCAGAGGATCTGAGGGGATGTTGTTGAAGGTTGGTTATTTAAGACATTCATTACATGAGATGTATGGTTTATTGAAACTGCAAAGGTAAAACAAATTCTGATTATTTTGATAGATGTGAAAGGGGGAGGAGAATTTATATGTGCATCAGGTTGGGAACCAGATGAGTCCTCTGCACAATCTGACTTTGTTGCAACCTAGAATTAAACTGCTGTTCTCATCTGGCCAGAGGAGAATGCCAGACTATTTCCCTTTTTTAATACTGTAAAGCTGCTTTGACACAATCTGCATTGTAAAAAGAGCTATATAAATAATGGCGACGACTTTTTTGACAAGAAAGACTTCTGCATAGGATACACCTGTGCCTCTTTGCTCACAGCTCCTCTGGAAGCTTCCTCACTCCTCGCCTCCTCATGGTGCAATGAAAGGTTTGAGATGTCCTTCAAGATGGCTAACTTTGATCGGTTTCTGGGTCACAGGCTGGAGGATGGAGGAGCGAGGAAACAAGGAGGCATCAATTTGATTCCCTTTGCCTGAGATAGGTGATGTAACAGACGAACCAGAAATTGTCGCCACTGTTTCTCACTTGTCTATCTCTGAGCTCATCGCTGCATCAGAGACCTGCCTTCTGTTAGCCCAACTTCACACACAGACAGAGAAACATTGGTAAAGACAAAAAGGTGGTGCAAAGAACTAGAACCTAACTTTCACATCAGACGTGAAATATTCATTGTGGGACTATAAAATTGTGCAGGGTGACCACTGTTTAGTGGAAATATTAGCACTATGCGCAAAATTTGTCAATTTAGCTAAAGAAAGGCACCAAGGGATTGAATGAACTAATCTTCAGGAGATAAGACAATCCACACAATTGTCTTTTGCTGACTTTTGATGATATCCAATATGTGCATTCCAATATATAGGCAACAGTATTGCCCACAAGCTAATGGGGCAGTAAATCAACTGTTACAAAATTACTGCAAAATTTCTGGGCAACACCACATGCTACCATACCACATGGCTACACCTTTTGAACTCCTGCATAGCCGTAAGATGCATACTGTAATGTACTGCCTGTCAGCATAGACACAAAGACCTGTTCCGATGTCCAAAACAACGTGACATATGTGACGGGGTTTCAAGTGAGGTGTTGAAAAAAGTAAACCAAGCTTACAGCTTCAGGTTCAAGAGCATTAACAGCAAACAGGTCCTTTAAGGAGCTTTTAAAAACAGCAGAGTTAAAGGACTGTGTTATAGATTAAAGGGTAAGTTCATGATTTGAAACAAGCTGATTGTTGTTCTTTTAGTGTGCCACAAACTGATCACCTCCATGCCACGCCGAATTGAGGCAGTAATTAAAGCAAAATGGGCCCCTACCAAGTATTGAGTACATGTACAGTAAATGAACATACTTTCCAGAAGGCCAACAATTCACTAAAAACGAATTGGTGGGTTTGTTAAATGTGAGCCAAAATCATCACAATTAAAAGAACAAAAGACTTAAACTACTTCAGTCTGTGTGCATTGAATTTATTTAATACACAAGTTTCACAATTTGAGTTGAATTACTGAAATGAACTTTTCCATGACATTCTAATTTATTGAGATGCACCTGTACTAGTCTAAATCCCATATACACACACTTCAAGAAACATTCTTTAGTGCAAGAAGTAAACAGGATGATGGTTCCAGTAACTCTGTAATTAGGCTGCTTATTACTTAGTGTTCAGAATGTGTTAATGCATCAAAGCATTGTGTTATAGTGTTCTAAGATTGTTTTAATGTTTATTCTGTGAAGAAAAGGGGAAAATTTAGCATCTAAAGAGGTTTTATTTAGCCATTTTATTGAAATAGGAAAGTCTAAATGGAAAGGAGAGAGAAGAGATACACTCTTGCATATGCCTGCTTCTTGAGTGTATTCCAGATGAAATGACAGCGTGGGCCTGTTTACACTTGGCTACATTGTACATTTTCACTGATCGGATATTTATCCAAACATAAAAGTCCAGGGGCCATATGTATAAAGCCGCTCAGAGTAAAATTTTAGTCCTAAGTGTGTCAAAATTCTTAGAATTATGTCATTGTACTCTTATTCCTAGACTTAAGAATAAGAGTGATTCATAAAGGTTCCTAAGTGTTAAGACTAGGTCCCAGCTCCTAAATTATTTAAGAGAGCTGAAGAGGTCTCCTAACCTAGTTAGGAGTAACAAGATGGCAGCACAGAGGAGGAAACAAACACTTTCCAGCGAAGATATGACGTATTGGAGTTATATGATGATATGGAGTTGATAAAATGATACAAACTTGATTGTCAACTGACAAAGTAAGAAATTTAATAATCTCTTCCACTCAAGTCAATGCTCTAACTGCAGATATGTAATAAAAAAAATTTGGCTGTAAAATAGGAAAAATGCAGCATGACACGGTAAGCAGGGTCTTAAATATTGTGGCACTAACCCCACCAAACACAACAGTGGCCAAAAGTGATGTGTGGATTTTTTTTTTAATGACCCCACATTTCACTTAAACCATTAAAATACAAAGGGGGAAAAAACACTGACCAGTGTTGCCAACTTATTTCAATCGAAAGTAGCTAAAACTGGTCACTTAATGTTGCTAGATGACCTCATAAAGGTGAGTTCACTGATCTATATTTATATTTATATAGATCAGTGAACTTGCCTTTATTACGTCATGGGAGAGTCTCGGAATGTAGATACGGTTTGTCCAAGAAACTGATTTTGTTGCTTTTGAAAAAATCTCTCTAAAGGGATGAGGAAGTGTAGTGACAAAAATGACTAAATTGGCAACACTGGCACACTGACTACAAAATAAGTTATTAATATTTAATAGGTCCTCTTGTTTTTGCATGTGTTCATAATTTCTTTGTATGACAGCATGCCAAAAATTATGACCGCACAATTTGGCATGTTTCATTGCATTATTATCACAAATAAAACAACTGACTCTAAGCAACTATGCAATATGCTTACAAAATCTTGAACATTCATTTATTAATTTTTTTTAATTAAGGGTGAAATTTCCTTGTCCGGACTTCACTTTTGGCCACTACTATATGGCAATTAATTAACTTTGCGACTGACCGCCAAACCATACTGCAAATACAAGCCACTTTTATGAGGATTGTGGGCTTTCATGGAGTTGTTGGAGCCACTGGTTGAAATCATGTTCACATCATTGCTCCAATTGTAAACGAGGAGACATACCAATAGAAAACGAAGCATCAGTAATAATTTGTGATAATTTTGCACAATGCAAAGCATTTAAAAAAAAAATGCATTTAAATATTAAAATATTTCAGTGTCTTAATTAAATTATTTTATTGTAGTGACATTAAATGATTAGTGTTGTGCTGCTGTGACTTTACATGAGCAGGCTCACTATTGGCTGATTCAGAGGTTGAGGTCGGCCATTTTGTGTTGACATCATTGTAGTGCTTAGTTCACAACACTCAGTCAACACTTAACAATCAGTCTTAGACTTTACTGAAAGCTGCTTTTAGCTTCTTTATAAAAGTCCTACTTTTTACTAAGATTTTTTTGACACAAGTCAAAGCTTAGACTATTCTTAAGAGCATTTCTGAGAAGTTTTATACATACGGGCCCAGGTGTAAATGTACCCTCAGATGCATTTGGGGTCATTTACAATGCAATCACTCAAATCCATTTCAGATGGCAACAAATAAAAGTCTATCCACCTTATTTTTCCCATAAGAGCGGATGTGCCCATTTGTAAATTTTATGGGTCTGGCTTCCGGTCTCTTGTTTCCAGCTATTTTTAGCTGTACAAAACAGCTTGTTTTGCTGCTTGATATTGCAAATTACCGTTATTTTAATGTATTATCCTAATTATGAAAACACTGGTTTGTAGTGCAAACAATTTGACCATTTACTGCATGTTGTTAGGCCTGTCGCAATAATCAATATATCGACTTATCGCGCAATATATGTACATGACCTCAATAATTTTTGGTGACGTAATATATCGCACATTATATTTACTTAAAAAATGTCACTATGTTTTGGACATTCCACTTGCGCCTGTGTCTTTTGCAGCTTCTCGTACATAACGTGTAGTTATGAGGTGCTTGTTCAAATTTAAAAAAATGCTTCTGCAAAAAAAGTTTCATCTGCAATCCCTTGTTTAGGGATCTGTGCCTTTGTGCATATGGACATCTGACTGCGAAGTAGTGATTGTGTTTTTCAGCAATCGTGTGTGCACCCTTAATTTACAGAGAAAAGAAGGTCAGGGAAAAATCTCCATACAAGTTCTTTGTGCATTTTTCTTTTTTTCTACTTGTTACTCTGCACTTTTTGTTAAAAAATTTATATTTACTATTTATTCAGGTTTTTTAAGGTATCTAATATTTTGATACTTAATCTCCATGATCTAAATATTCTTAAAAAATTAAAAGTTTGTTGTCATTTGGAAGTGTGTAGGCCTTCTTGAATTATTATGCTGTTACATTATGATTCAGTGGCATAAAATGGTCTTTAAAATGACAATAATATCGCTTATCACAATTATTTCTGGGGCAATATATCGCACAACAAAAAGTTGTTATCGTGACAGGCTTACACGTTGTCAATCCTCTCGTTATTTCCCTACAGTGGCTAATGAACCGGAAGTCTCACGCATAGGCTTACTTCCATGTTGAAGATTAAGGTGGATATAACAATAATATTTGTCTTTGTCTAATTATGTGTTTATGAGTTGAAAAATTTATATTATTATTTAGCTATTACATATATTTTGGTGGTATAATGTATTGGTAGCAAAAAAAATAAGTGTATTGGTGCAGAGAAAGTAGGCTTGTAATGCTTATTTTGTAAAGAATTTGCAACAGTTTTTTTATCACTTAACTAGAACCACACACACTTGTGGTTTTCACACCCACCTGAACACTTTAACCAAGTACTGAAAAAAAATATGTCATGTAAGTAGACAAGTGGTCAAGTGTGGGTATTGGAACAGGCCCGGTGTGTCCCAGGGTTTGGTGCCAAATACAAAAAAACAACTTTTGTGGATTTTCTAAGTCAAAGATGGCTAGTCCTGCTTCTGGTTGGCTTCCATCTTGTAGCGCTACTATCCTATCCTAATCAAACACATGAAAATATACTTGAAAATAACAGACAGGTCTGTTGGTACAGAATTGGAGCAGAAGTTTGCAGGAAGTACTGATGGGCAGTTCGGATCATTTTACTGACTTTCTCAGTTCGATCTTGTTCATCAAAATACATTTTTATTCAAGCTATTTCGTTCATTTAAGTGATGTTATTCCAGGGGTCACCAGACTTGGTCCTGGAGGGCCGGTGTCCTGCAGAGTTTAGCTCCAACTTGCCTCAACACACCTGTCTGGAAGTTTCTAGTATACCTGGCAAGACCTTGATTAGCTGGTTCAGGTGTGTTTGATTAGGATTGGAGCTAAACTATGCAGGACCCTCCTTGGCCCTCCAGGACCAAGTTTGGTGACCCCTGTGTTATACCATTAACAGCCAAATTCCGCAAATAAATCCACCTACACAATCTAGATCATATTCCGAATTAACAAATCATTATAATGCAGCTAAAGATAATTTACAGGAAAAAAAAATTACTTTACCTTTCGAGTCTTTCGTTCATTTTTTATGTGACAGAAGCAAAGAACAATCATTTATGACCCGTCACTTGCAGAAAGGTATCTCACCAGGAGCAGGGCTGGCTACCCTGTTTAGTAGGGCAGCCCCCTAATAATCAACTAATCATTAGTCGACCAGAAGAAGCTTGATCGACCAAAACTGTATTAGTCGCTTAGTCGCAGAAAAAAAAAATCCACAGGCAAAGTCACTCAGTCCGTGACTAACAGATCGTTAACGGCTAGTCTATGGTAATACAGTACATCGGACAGGACATCCAAAAGCTCGCCTATCATTCATCGACCACAAATATGGCTTATCATCTGAAATATGTAAGTATTAGCAACATTACATGAACGAGAAATGTGTGCTGTTCAAGTGTCTTGTGTGGAAGCTGAACAGTAGCTCACTGCAGGACAGATGGAGGCGCCGCTGCGCTCACTTGAACTTAAAATACTCTGTCATTTTTGATCATATAGATAAGAGTAATACAGGTGCATCTCAATAAATTAGAATGTCGTGGAAAAGTTAATTTATTTCAGTAATTCAACTCAAATTGTGAAACTCGTGTATTAAATAAATTCAATGCACACAGACTGAAGTAGTTTAAGTCTTTGGTTCTTTTAATTGTGATGATTTTGGCTCACATTTAACAAAAACCCACCAATTCACTATCTCAACAAATTAGAATACTTCATAAAAAACATTTTTAGTGAATTGTTGGCCTTCTGGAAAGTATGTTCATTTACTGTACATGTACTCAATACTTGGTAGGGGCTCCTTTTGCTTTAATTACTGCCTCAATTCGGCATGGCATGGAGGTGATCAGTTTGTGGCACTGCTGAGGTGGTATGGAAGCCCAGGTTTCTTTGACAGTGGCCTTCAACTCATCTGCATTTTTTGGTCTCTTGTTTCTCATTTTCCTCTTGACAATACCCCATAGATTCTCTATGGGGTTCAGGTCTGGTGAGTTTGCTGGCCAGTCAAGCACACCAACACCATGGTCATTTAACCAACTTTTGGTGCTTTTGGCAGTGTGGGCAGGTGCCAAATCCTGCTGGAAAATTAAATCAGCATCTTCAAAAAGCTGGTCAGCAGAAGGAAGTGTAGCGTCTGGACCACTCAAACACACAATATGTATTTTGTTTAAGTCAGAAATTCTCTACACACTATAGAATCTCCATAACAGTTCCCGGCAATCCCTGGAACCACCTGCAGTCTCACCAGTGAGAGTCTAACCCGGCTACCCTCAGGTGTAGATCTGCTGAATATGCAAATGGTTCCATAAATTTCATTCCTTATGTCTCTTCTCTATTTTTATTTTCAATTTTAGTCTTATCTGGATTTGGCAATCAGAAGAAGTGTGTATCTTGATCAGGGTCCAGTCCAATGTTGCTTTGGATAAACTGGCACAAAAGTAAGATGGATTACCTGATCCAATATAGCAAAACTGGGATTTCCAAATCCAGATCATTCTTATTCAGATTTAACTTTTTTAACAACTGGGCCCTTTTTAACAACCGTGTCCCAAAGACAGCCTCACCAGCCTTGAGGTTGAAATTAATAATAATGATTCGCTTGAAACCTTTTGTTTGGCTTAGAGGTTGTTTTAATTTATTTTTTTGAACATAATATAATAAATAAAATCCACCTTACAGAGCAAAATATATACTAAACTGGCAAGATTTACAATTTCGCAATATGACAGTCCAAGTTACTTATAAAATTAAAGTGTATCATATACTAGAAGGGATCAGTACACAGTTAAGTTTTTCATGGTACTTTAATCTTAATGTTGTGTTGCTTGTGCAGCACGTCCAGTATCTGAGGGAGGATGTCCATGTTGAGTAAAGGCTTGTCCACGTCATCGATTCCTGGGCTCAGTGACCCGATACTGCACCTCATCCTCGCTCTGTGTTTGGGTTTGAGCGATCGAAGAGATTCTGCCTCAAATCCAGTGTGTCTCTCATCGATTCCCAAAATAAACGTAGAGTTTCTTGCCAGTTGCATGCACCACAGCAGCAAACCAATGAGAAAGCAAAGCATTAAGCATAAGATGGCATTATAAACCCACCCAAAGCAGTGATCAGATACATAAGACTCGAAATCAGCATCAGTGAGCTCATCGATGGACCTTTGGGCTAGTTCTGCAGGACTGGCACACACCGGCATCACAGAGATGGCTTTATTCCTCTGTAGCCATTGTCTTAAGTACTGGATGCTGCAGTCGCAGTGGAAGGGGTTCCCGGATAAGTTGACCAGCTGCAGGTGGTGGAGCTGGTCTAAATGCCCAGGAGTTACGGTGGTGAGGAGGTTGTTCTGCAGCAGGAGTTCTGTGATTTCTGCAGGAAGACGAGGGACGGTTCTCAGGCCCTGCGAGCTGCAGTTCACCCTCAGACCTCGGGACGGTAAAGTCTTGCACCTGCAGGACTGGGAACTGATGTGTGCAAAGATCGAGCTCAAGAGAAGGGTCAGTCTTGAACTGAATAGCATCCTGTGTGTGAAGAAACCACAAATACTTTAGCACATGTCTTCAGAAGCAGGGAGTTATTGACATCATTACATGCAATAAAAATCTGAAGCCTGAGTAGCGTCAGTCAATTGACCTATCGGTAAGCCCCTCCCCTCGAACGCAGATGAGCCAATGGCAGTTGAGTATCAGATGCATGGGAGCGGAACTTGGACATCTTTAGGTTTCAGTGCCATAGAAAAAACACTGGAGGATCCGAAGCTTGCATCTGTGTGATGGTGTTTATTCTACAAAAATAGTAAAACGACGTGCCTGGGGTCTTTGTAACAGTGATTCCAGGTATCCTGAGAGGATGGGCAATATAATTTATTTTATTGCATTTCCTAAACCCAAACAAAACAGAGCAAAATGTCCCTAAGCATTCAACCCCAATCCTAATGATGACAAAACTTTCATTTTCTGGTTGTCATGCTCTCATCAAGTTACAATTTTCATCTGCTCAAGCAGAACGTTAATGTCATCTTGTGCTTCAGCAAAGTATCTCTGGCTGAAACTAGCTAACATTGAAGTTAGTGATTCCATGCGAAAGTACAAACCTAAATAGCGAACTGTTCTCACATTATGTACATTGTTGGTCAAAAACACATAAACGAAGGTCTACATTTCAGTGCATCTCCATAATAGAATGGTTAAATGCACATTAATTTAATCGTACCCTACGATACATGAACAGTGATGACCCTGCATGTTGTCATCCGCAATCGTGACTACCGACCATAACATGAGGCTTCTCGCATTGTGATCTGTAAACCCTCGCTTCGAGTTACCCACCGTATTTATTTTAAAATATTTTATATATCCCTCCATGGCAATTTTTAATTCCCACTTGAATGTTGGCCCTTCTGTGTCCAAAATTGTTCAAAAACTCCGTGGGACAAGGTTTTCACACTGACAGTTGTCACTGTAAGACAGCTTACAAAGAGCAGCTCCATTTGTCCGTCCGAGGGAGCAACAGTAACTAAAGAGGTGGGGCTTACCAATAGGTCAATTGTCTTGGAGTACATACCCAGATAGCACACGTACATCACTATTTGACGTCTGCATTTACATCTGCAAGACGTATTTTTAGAGCAGTGGTCACCAACCTTTTTAAGCCCAAGTAATGAGACTTGCTGCTACCAATGCATCCACAAAATGCTGCTGTGAGCATGTAGGAATACGGCTGCTGCACATATAACATGAATAACCCCCATAACATACATGATCACCCCGTAGCAGATCTATACAGGTGGAGCTGGGGGAGGTGGAGGGCTTCTGAAGCGCTGTGACTGATATAGCGAGCACTGTTGAGCAGCGAGCTCACTGGCTGCTGATACAAAAAGAACCAATCAGCTGCGCCATGTGATAATGATGTCATTAGGTCAGATTGAGTTTGACCTATCGGACCGTGCCATCTAGAGTTTCATGCCAGAACTTTGAATATATCCAGTATTTAGGGCAAGTTGTGAATTATTATGCTTATAAATTGCTCTGTTAGCTTAAATAGATGCTAAGGGGCATAGCTAGACCCTTTTTACCTTTTTGATAAATCCTTGTCTGGCTACAGCGATCACCATATAGCAATTAATTTTCCCTGTTAATATGTCAGCAGTCATGTGATGTATGCTGTCTATTGGCTTTATGCCAAATATTGCACGAACAAACCTGGAATCCCGGAAAACAAACAAGAGGATGTCTCATCCCATCCTCTTATTGGATAAAGTGTTAACAGCAGTGTGAACTGATGGCAATATCTATGGACCTTTGAAGTAATCAGTGAACCTATCTAGTTGTATTCATTTTATTCGATGTTAGTAAGAAGAAGAAAAATAAACTCTTAGATATCAATGTGCATATGCGATGGATATCTGTTATGCTCATCTTTGGTAGCTCCTTATCTTTAGTAAAACAGCTCTATATTTAACGGAGCACATACTAAAGACCTGAAAGTGAAGCAATGTGAACTGTTTAATATGTGCATTAGGTCAGGGTTGTCCAATCCTGCTTCTGGAAGGCCTCTGTCTAGCAGAGTTTAGCTCTGGCTAATTAATCTAATTAAACACACCTGGACCAAGGTAATCAAGGGGGCTGTGTTTGGAATCACCTCCTATAGCCTTAAATAGGCCAATATTTGAGGGGGCAGCAATTTGTAGTGGTATGTGAAACCATAGTGAAACCATTCAATCCCATAATGCACCGCAATAACGAGTGTACCCATAATGCACTGTGAGGGACTTGCCGAGAGAATTCCCGCGTCTCACCAGAGGATGAAGCCTGCAGCTGTGTTAATTTTCCAAACCGCTGGTCCAATGTGGCTACAGTGTAATATCAAACCCCTATACAATTCTTTTAAATTGATTATTTAATAGTTTAATGGAGTTTTACACACGCTAGTTTCCATGACAGAGTTCAAGATTAAATATGTTAATTACTACTGGAGCTGCCAGCGTGCTAAGTTTGAAATGATTATTGAACAGCAAGCACAATCTATACTCAGGGTCCGAATTAACTCACTCGCTTTCATTCACTCCTTCATTAGTGGACCAATGCAAGGAATAGTGAACGAGGTAGGAGGTGATTTCAAACACAACATCAGTCTTTAGGATCGCTAGAAACTTCCAGGCAGCTAAACTCCAGGAAAGCGGCCCTTGAGGAGCAGAATTGGACAGGGGATTAAAACTTGTACCAAAAGAATGCCAAATTAAACTCTTGTGATCTAATCAGTCAAACGGGCTTGCAAAAAGTCTGAAATTGTTCATCATTCAGGTTGACGCTTTCAGTCAGTTCACTCATGCACTGAATCCTTTACAGAGGTTTTTCACACAGTAGCGGATGTAAGACAGAAAACAAAAGAGCTGGATGAGCCACAATCCATTGTAGGAAACAACACTTATATTCTTTGTCAAGGACAGCATTTTGAGCAGCTTGTGAATGACTTGGGTATTTATAACCAACATTAAAATAAAATTGTTAAAATAGCTTGTCTGTGCAAAGTTACATCAAATATTACAAAATATGACATCAGTGTATAGTGTGTTTAAGAAACACTGTCCAACAGTGACATGAAAGAGGTCAAACATCTCAAAAGGTTAGACAGACTAGACATTATAAACAGCACTGAAGAACACTGTGGCTGCCATAATAATAATAAAATATATTCGCTGCTTTATATAAAGGAATGAGCTTTTTGATATGTCTGTACATATGTGACCACAAAATTGGACATTTAAGTCTCTCTTAAAATGTTTGAATGCACTAGAATAAGACAGATTTTTGTGTGAGTAACGGATGTAAGACTTACCTTTTAGCATGTGATTGACAGCAACTGGAGAAGTGTAATAATCATTCTGGCTTTAAGCTGAGACGTACATCCACTAGAGTTTTTTCTTGCATATGTTTCTGTACATCAAAACAGGCATTGCTGGCGCTTTAAACTGTGAACGTCTGGCACTGTTTTTCCTGTATTTTTGACAGTTTCCCAGGGCTGGCCTGTGTGAGCAGAGGATAAGACTATCTGCCAACAGCACATTAGAAATGCCCTGCTCACTGAAAAAGCTGCATGCTTTTATCTGCAGTTGAGATGAGCAGTATTGGGGGTGACGCATTATTGTAATGCATTACTTTTAAAAGTAACTTTCCCCAACACTGGAGATGAGTATGAAAATATTCTATATTCTATATTCGCAATAAATTGCTATACATGATGAATGAGCAATGTTTAGCCTGCGGTGCGTACATGCCACCAAAACAAAAGACTCACATTTGAAATGTACTCATTCGCTTATATTTAATTAAAATCTGCAATCTCTTTAAATGTGAATATATCAAAATCAAAAATAATTTAAATGATAGACTACTGAATGCTTTGGAATTAGCTTGGACTGTCTGATTAAAAACAAACAAACCGATCAGTCAGCTATACGTATCATGTAATTGTTTTATTTTATGTTCTGAATGTCGTCACAGTTTGAGTTTTATATTGACTGTACACTGACATAGATAACCATCACATAAAATAAAATCTCAAAAGACAAGCATTCTCTGTTCTACAACAACCAAATAAACCAATGCCCTTTATTGTGACCTATTTCTCAGAGTGGTTGATTGGGACAGTGTGATAGCAGCCTGTGAGGAGAAAAACATCCAGACAGAGGATCTCAACAGTTTCAGTAACGCACAGTAAAACAGATGGGAACACACCTCTCATTTAAAGATAGACGTCACATTATGCAGTCGGGATACTGTACACACTATATACACAATGGTTCCCTAATATATTTATTACTGCTCAAATGTGTCTTCACAAGCCCTCTTTACATGGGCTATAGTGGGACAGGATCGTTTTACATGGATGAGTTATCTGCAGTAACACACAACACAGTACAGAACAACAGGCCGAGCACGAGAAATGATGAAACGCATAAAAAGAGAATAAGAAATATACAGAATAATAAGAAAGAGAGGTAAAGTGAAATAAAAGCGTTAAGGCTGAGTGTTGATCAGCTCACGGTGGACAGTGCATTTGAACCTTCAGTCCTTCATCTGTCAATCAAAATATCAGAATATTAATATTTTATGCAGAACAAAAATCTTTGGAAATGGTTACTTTGTAAGTAATATAAATGCAAGATCTTTAAAAAATTTTCTTCTTCTTAAAGTCAACATGAAACACAATGAAGTCAAATGGGTTTGTTAATGCTGAGCAAAACAGGATATTAAACATGGAAAAAAAGCAAGGGAGGATTTGCTTTCATCCATCAAGAAATTATCAGACTGTAAAAATGGCAGGTGATTGAAGGAAATCAGGCTGAGAAATAAAAGAGTGCGATGATTTCAAGCTGATTTTTAAAATAAGAAGAATACGAAGGCAACTCTTTTTGCTTTGAATTTAACACAAGGAACGTATTAAGCGAAGTAAGCATGGTTAGTTTAGTTTTTAGTTTAGTCTGTTCGTGTTGACTTCAGCATATCAGAATGAATATTGCACTCAATATATGTGATAAGTTGAAAAGAAAACCTAATGCTTTGTTTTGGGGTCATGAAGACGTGCTCCGAAGCAAAGGTTACAAAATTTTGATCCTGAAAAACAAATCGAAAAATATCAGCTTATATATCTGATCAGATTGCATCTTTACAACAATCATTTTCATTTGCCTCACTTCACAAACTAAAAGTTCATTTCTAGATATACATTCCTCTAAACCAGGAGTGCCCAAACTCGGTCCTGGAGGGCCGGTGTCCTGAAGAGTTTAGCTCCAACCCCAATTAAACACACCTGAACCAGCTGATCAAGCTCTTACTAGAAATACTAGAAACTTGAAGGCAGGTGTGTTGAGGCAAGTTGGAGCTAAACTCTGCAGAACCCTCCAGGACCCAGTTTGGACAGCCCTGCTCTAAACATACAGATGCTTGCATAATATCACCTGAAACAATCCCCTGGTTGTTTAAAAGTAAAAAAAAGAAGAGTACTTTTTACATGATTGCACTTCATTGCCATGGTAACACTGGTTTATTTTCAATAATAAATAAACACCCAAGAACAACATCAATAACAAATCACAGTTAAAGCCTAGCCGATCACTTTGACGCGTGTTTGATGAGAATCTCTACGCCACTCCCAAGAACAACATCAATAACAAATCACAGTTAAAGCCTAGCCGATCACTTAGTGGCGTAGAGATTCTCATCAAACACGCGTCAATGATGAAGTAATAGTAAAGATGCTCCAGCCATGACCACGTCATCATGACAAACATATTGCACTTAAAAACAAACAAGAACAATCCATAAAATATAGAAAAATAATTCCATCACTGGCCCTCAGAAGTCCAGGAGTTTCCTCCAACGAAAAAAAATCATGTTCAGTTATTTAAAAAATTACTCCAGGCATGCAAACATATTTTAACATCTGCTCAAAACCCTTACTGTAAGTCTGTAAGATTCATATGATGCTGTACAAGTTCACCGTATAGTTGAGCAGTTCAAAGTGCCACATGATACTGCATTTGTGCTTTATAATAGATCACAACGGAAGGTTTCTATTAGCATACTTATTTAAATATGACTTCCACTCAAACTGACCAAGATATTGTTCTCAAAAAGTCGTGAATACATCTTTTACAGTATTCTATAACATCGCTTTTTGCTTACAATGTTTTCAGTTACACTACTGTACTACTGTTCTACACACGAAACATAGAGGGTGCAACGGTCATTGGCACGTTCATTAATGATCGTTTAGACTGTCATCTACAACAAATACAGCGTTAGAACATCTACTCTGTCATTCTGCTAGTTTGAATGAATGTCAGTCACAATGTCAATGTTTGAATACAAGCAAACCCACTCTTTTGTTTGTTTTTATAACCTCTGCCAGGCAAACCTAACGAAACCAGTCAAAGAAATCAAGAAACCTGGCGGGAAATTAAATATCATATTTTGCATAAAGGCAACAAAACCCATATTTAGGACTATTAAGATTTTTTGCTGATATTAAGCACAATTATACACACTTCTCAAATCCTCAATAAATAAATACAAAACTGCGATTGCTATTAGAACCATACTACTACTGCAATATGAAAAAAAACAACAACTATGCATTATTTAAACGTAAAAATATTTGTGCAGCATGGTAACTGGCTTTTAATGTATGCTAATATTAACTGAAATATCATTGTTTTATTATGTTTTCCAGGAACAGACTAAAAACTATTTGATAATAATACAAATAATTTTATTATTATTATAACTTTAAAATGCAAAAAAATTAACAATGCAATATATCTTAATGGTCCTTGGTATTCTTTATGCAAAATATAAATTCTTATTCTAATCTTGTGACATTCACCCGTAGGCAGAATGAAATAAGAGCGAGCGAGAGACATTAAACACAGATGCTGTTTTTGGCTGAAGCTCACACCAGCGTGCTGATAGCGCAGGGGCTGTGTTTGCTGATCATGTGCTGTTCTCTGAAAGCTGTTTGAAGAGATACGGGCCGTGTTGGCTGGGTGCTATAGTGGGGTGTGCTGATAGGGCGGATGGCTTGACCCGAATGCTCTCAAAGAGTGACCCAAGGAGGGAGTCTGTAGCGCTGTGTCTGTCAGGGAACAGATGCTCCTGGAAGGAAGGGTCTCTCTGGCGCAGAGGAGGACTGCTAAAGATGGAGCCCTGTGAGGAAAGACGATAATAAATAATTACGCTAATAAAGCGTCCAAACACTTTAAGTCAACTAGATTTTGAAGTGAATATGTGCAGTAGTGAAGTAAGTATAGACATGTATTTTCATAATCATTTCCTCCATTAAGGCCCGTTAAGACACGGTTTCACAGACAGGGCTTAGCTTAAGCCAGGACTATAGGTCTTAAATAATTAAGATATTTAAGCAGCTTTTATAAAAATGCCTTAGAAGAAAACGTTACAGGTGTGCATCTTGAGACAGATCAATTGCACTGACATATTGTAAGATCTGTCAGAGCAAGATATTTTTAGTTAAGACAGCTCAAACATGCATTTTAGTCTGGGACTAGCCTTAAGCCTGGTCTGTGAAACCGGGGGTATATCAGTCACTTCAATGCTTCCTTTTTAAATCCTTTTTAGCAGCTGACAGTATGCGGTTACAAAAAAGAATAATCCAAGGCACTTCTTCTGGTCCAAAAAAGTTAAAAAGCCTTTATTCACATTCTGGCCATCTCAATAAACATTAAATATGTTTATTATATGTTTTAACACAAGGCTGAAGGCAGTGTGCAGAGTTTTAGCCATTTGTAATGTTTATTGAGATGGCCAGAATGTGAATAAAGTTGGGCTGTCAAAAAAAACTAAACTCATTTTAAAGGCACTCATTTTATTAACGCACGATTAATGCAGCGCACGATTCCTGTTTGACAACATGATTGCAGCGGCCAGGCAGCTCCCGTTCGAGCATATGCCTTGCATTGCACACAGCCTCCACCGAGCCATCACAGTTTCGCTCCAGAACAGCCCGTTTGACAGCGCCTTGGCAAAAGGTGTGTGCGTGTGTCAGTGAGAGATTGAAACACACACCTATAAATCGTCATATAAATCATAAAGAGTGGATTTCTCTGTTGTTCTGACGTGTCTCTGACAGTGTGTTGTGTGTGTGTCAGTGAGAGTGAGACATTGAAAGTGAGTGAGACACTCATTGTCTAACTAAAGTGCTTTTCTCTATTATTGCAGGTATGTGAGTGAACTTCTAGGAGGAGAGAAGTTTGTTTCTTGCTCACTTGTGCTGCCAGCGTTGTGTCATCTATCACGTGTGATGAAGATGACCCAGCATACATGGTTAAGTTTAAGGAAACTTTCACAACAGACATGGACAAACGGAAGGAAAAAAACAACATCACATGGCTGAGGGTTGCAACAGCACTGGACCCTAGGTTTAAGGACCTCAAATGTCTGAGCAGGGCTGACAGAGCTGAGATGTGGAGTTCAATCTGTGCCCTGCTCCGGGAGAGGGGGCTTGCACAGCAAG